GAGAGAGAGAGAGAGAGAGACATATGATCAAAAAATGTTGTAAAAAATAAGGATATAAATATAGACAATGGACAAAAAATGTGGCAAAAAGTTCATCAACAACATTCAAAGAACGTTGCAAAAAGTTTATTAACAACCTTTGAAAAACATTACAAAAAGGTTATAAGCAACATTCAAAAAACGTTGCAAAAAGTTAGCAACATTTAAAAAAACATTGTCATATCCTTCTACTCTACAACAACATCGAGGTTTACAACATACGTCCGAACGTTGCAAAAAGTATTCAACAACATTTTTTGAACGTTGCTAAAGGCTATTTTATTGTAGTGGTAACCTTCTTCAATGTGGGATTTGAATTTCACTTATTGAAGTAATTGAAATGGCATTTTTAGAAGACAAATTTAAAATTCTTAATATGCTCATCTAGTTTTTCTTCTTACCAAAAACTTTTAAATTAACGTTAGTAAAGCTTGAGGTCACACATTATGTTGGTAATATAAACAGATTGTTAGTTTTGATCCCCGATTGTAAACAAAATAGTTAATGAAACAAAAATATAATTAAGGTGACGAAAATAATGTTGTCAATCGTACTTGAACACACTCGAGGTGCTAAAACATTTTTAGTACATTGTGAGGCTTTTTAAATTTGTCATTTCATAAAAACAACATTTCTCAATCACAAAAATCTTGTTTTTTTTATACTTGAGGGCACTTATGTCCAGATCACAGAGAGCTTTAATTCAGCCCATTATTTTACGTGAACTTTAATTTTTATAAATCCGAACAAGTTCATATTATGTCTCTCGCTTCATTTTCTTGATGATTTTTAATGACAACGAGACAGGTTGGGGTCAGAGCGTGACATCGCATGCCCCAATCCCTGCTTAAGGTAAGTCCCCATGGAACAACACGACCCCAACCTGAAACCATCCCATATGAGGCACCTTTGGGCACGAGTTTTTCAATCAAATTTCCATTCCTAATGTGAATTAAGATAACTGTCACGTTCTCCTTTAAATTTGGAATGCATTTTTAGTTGGAAGCTGTGTCAGTCAAATGAATTGTTGATGAGTAAGCATGATTTACAAATAGACTCTTTTTTTGCATTCATTTCTTAAAATTCATTTTTTCTTTAAATTCATTTTCATTTATAAATTTCATGGGATCATAACTTTTTATATTTCAAGATTTTTTAATCAAAATCTACTTAAAAATTAATTTTCATCCAAACCAAACAAGGGCTAGCATTATTTTTAAATTATTTTTTTTAGGCACCTTTTTTTGGGTTGCTGATGGGAAGATATGCAAATCAAGATTGGGAAATAGCGTTTTCTTGAATTTGTAAACTCCAAAGGTTGTCTTCGCCCTTGCACGTGCTGGATGTCTTCATCTTATGTGCTCTGTCCACACAATATGGTTTTGTGAGCATTAGGATTTAGAGATTTGGATTCCCAAAGAGCTTCAAAATCAGTGCACCTATGACAAACTGTCTACCGTCTATGATTCTGGTTCATGAAATTCCGCAAATGTACAGATTGTAACAAGTAATAAAATGGATTTATTAAGTCTGAATATCGTCACACAGAGACTACTATTTACTATAAAGTTTTAAACTAATATAGTTTCAATTTAAATTAAAATGGTAACTAATGATCAACTCAAATTAAAACTGTATGTGATTGGATAGTTAGGATTTCTGATTTCAATTAGGTTATTTATTTTACATTTAATTCCAATTTATTCAACTATTTTTCATACGTGTCAACGATTGAATTAACATATTGTATTTAGTGATCTCTCTCGAACAACACTAATTCTATTCATATGCCCGAACTTATTATATCTCTATATAAATTCACATACATATGAACACATTTATCTATAGGAATTCAACAAAGATCGCATGGCTTATAATTATCCTTCGATCTCTTATAATGTCTATGTTAATTTTGCACGAGTTAGAATTATACGTCACCTCTCGGTCTCAGTATTATC